AAGTCGAAACCATCGACATGATTTGCAATTGAAATTCATTGTCGATTCAGTCACTTGAATGAACTCATTTCCAAGCCAAAGTAAACATTCATTATTGCAAGCCTTACAAAAGCGAATTCTGTAAACACGAAATTTACGATTAATTCATCTTCGCATTATTTTCAAAAGCTCAAGTCTTCACATTTTTGTGCGTCTTGAGATTGGACTTGAGAAACCTCGAAATTGAAGTGACTTGAAGTCGAAGTGAATTTTGACTTTAATCTTCTGGTTGTTGGATGGACTTGACTGGATTTGCTTACCCAAAGTCACAGTTTTTGCTTCTGTATTTTTCAATATTTGATTGTTTAAATAAACTGAAATTAATATCTTTACATTAAACTTGAATTATTGATTCCATTTTATCATGCAAATGCTCATTTCTAAATTGAACTTTGAAATATCATCGCTTATCATGGAAACCATTTTACATGACTAATTATTAACTTTTTGATCAATTAATTTCAAACGTGAGGAGATTATCAAGTTTTTGAATATTTTTCTTTCACCTTTTAAAATTGATTGGAATATTCATTATTCATCTGAACCCCTTGAATTATTAATTGCAACCTTTTCACAGAATATTGAAATTTGTTTATTTTTTGTGTCGACTTTTTTTTTCTTCAAACATTTTTGGCCTTTTCTCCATTAGTTGATCGATACAGTAAAATTGATTAAACTAATTGTCTTCTTTAACAATGGATTGATATTGATGATTTTTAATGAGATTACATCAATTTAATTAATTGAACTTTTGTCAACAAAACGATTCTTTCCGTGTTTATTTCAACAATAAATTGAATGTTTTGAAAAAAAGGAAAAAATTTAATCAAAAGATTGCCAGTAAAGCAGAAAACATTCATTATAATTGAATTGTGCCTCAACTGTCTTGATATTTGCTTTAATCATAACCTTAAAACAGTCAAATGGTTCTGGCATCATTTTCAATCGGCTAATGAATAGTTTATCGATGGCGAGTGGAAAGGTTAAAGTTTGATGATTGAATGGCATGAAAAGATAATGGGTTTGATTGATTGTTCTGATGCCTTGTAAGATGCCAAGTGTCTAAGTACAGGTTAAGCATCGGAATGGTTAAACAATAATCTAAGGAGAAACGACTGGAAATGAACTTGAAAGTTGAAGATAATTGCATATCAACTATCAAAGATAATATTATCCAAGTGTTAAATGGTTTATCTGGGAGTGAAAAGTAGTTTTGGCAAGAAAAGTCTTTCTCCAAATTCATTTGCACTCCAATTTACCATGAAACTAGAGTTTGACCAGTTTTGACCCAATCTTGACCTTATCTTGAACAACCTTTGATTGTTGCAGGTCAAGTTTGAGAGTTTTGCATCTTGGATGTGATTTGGGTTTGTCAATGTTGACTGGAAATGGAAAGAAAAAAGTGATAAAAACAATGATATCGATTGAAGCAACTGGACAATAGAGCATTCAGTTTGTCTCTTTTCATGTTTTGTGTGTTTTTTGCCTGCTTTTGGTTCCTTTTGGTTGATTGAAAGTCTCGTGAAACCGGAATAAGGTTAACATTGAAAATGTAATAATAGCTAATTGGATGAGAAGAAAGACTTTAAATAATATCAACAACTCTAATCAAGGGTAAATAATGCTGGGAATGAAGAGAAAAGAGAGAAAATAAAGAGATGAGAAATTGTTTTCTTTTCATGTTTATCCTCTTCTTTTTCACTTTCACCTCATCCACAAGATTCAACATCTTTCTTCCTTCTTCTTGCCTCATCTTTTTCCTATTTACTGTATTGAGTATTTAATCTCAATCAAACTCTAATGAACCTTGATTGATTCAGATAACTCTCATGTAAAGATTATTTTTCTCGTTCTTTTTCTTCTCTCTCTGAACGTTTTCCAAGGTAAGAAAGGTTCACCTGTAAAGATGCATTTTTCATGGCAACAACTTGATGATCAATGAATAGAAAGGTTAACATTTTTTTTTCTTCAAAACCAAATCTTTATGTTGACTTGAGGTTACGATTATCTGTTGAAATGTTAAACTTGATTTTACTTGGTTAAACTGTTGACCCACACGATGACCCAATGTACAGAATTGTATTGAAAATGAAAAACGTGATTCCACTTGAATGAAACTTTATTTGCTACAAATTGATTCTCTAATTCAGACGGAAGAAAAGATCTCAATTGAATGAGATTTCTGTTGAATTTTTTTTTTCATTCATTCTTCAGAGTAATTTGCTTTTTCTCTTTCATTCCCATTTTTACACCATTTTTACCTCTTTTATATTTCTATTCTTGTTAATATTATTCTTATACCAAGCAAATGCAACTGAGCGCAACAAAATTTCAATCCAAGTTGAATCGAGAACAAAAAGAGTGAGAAAAAAAAGAAATTGTTTTCTCAGTTGATTGAATTCCTTTTGCAAGGATGAACCATTTTTTTGCTTCTCTCCCTGATTCTTTCTCCATTCAACGTTTAGTAATATTCAGAGTTAACTGCAAGTGACATGAAAGTTAAAGGTAAAATGGATGAAAAGAAAGAAAATAACGAAACTAAAATTGTCCAAGAGTAACAAGTACATGAGTGACAGACAATGGCGAGATTGAAATTGACCAGGCAAAGTCAAATTTTGATTGAATTTTCTTTTCTCTTTATCATGATCAGAGTGTGAAACAATTCATAAACTGAACCATGACTATGAGTCTAAAGGCTTACTCAAGTCAACCCAAGAGAGTCGATGGTTAGCATTGAAAAGCGAGTCTTGTTCAGCCTCTAAACCAGTGACTTTCATTTTCTTGCTTTTGACCAATTTTTGTTTCTTAACCAAAAAATTTATTTAAACATTTTGTTCACTTCAATGTTTAACAATTGAAATGAATTCATTGCTTTTGAGCTTGAATAATCTTTTCGGAATGATGGAATGGAAGGGAAAAAATGATAAATCTCAGCTTTGTTCAAGGTAATTTCCAATCGTAATTGAATGTGAAATGTTGGAAAATGAAGAACAGAAAAATTCATTCAATTGAATGATTGATGATGAGTTAGGGTTAAATTTGATTTTCAGTGTCACTTAAATTGATCTTTTATCGTCAATTGATCAAACAAGAACCATTTCAGCCAAACATTGAAAAGTATATTAAACCTTTAGGCAATTGCTGACCTCAACATTCACTGATGAACACTTTTCAACTCTCAGTGTTTATCTCATTTCCAATCAAACCGCAAACCTTCAATGTTATTCATCAACTGTTCATCCGATGATTTGATATTGCATTTCAAACAAACAAAGCAAATACAAAATGAGAAGGAATCCAGAAAATGGACTCCAAACTAGGAGTGAAAAATCACAAGAAAACATTTGATTGCAAAGACAAAGCTTGTTGAGCTGAGAATTTTCCAAAAAAAATTCTTCACAAGAACAATATTCAATAATTGGAGCTGATTAAATTTGATTCTCAAGTAAATTTTCAATTTCCATATCTTTTGATGAATCAAGTAGATTGCCCTTCATTTTGAACAGAAAACACTTTTTGAAATGAAACTTTTGCTGTAAAAAACAAACTTGAATAACAAGCCTTGAGCAATGTTAATATTTTTTTATTTGCATAAAAATTTGCCTTACATTTGAAGACAATTTTTTTATTCAATAACAACATTATTGGAGTGAAAAAAAGGTGCAAAAAGGCGAAAGAAGAGAGAGAAGAGAAGAAAAAAATATTTCAATTTATGCTAATTGTTGAGGGTTTATTGGCTCGCAATGAAATGCAATTTAAAGCACTCAGTTTACTCAACTCTAGATTATTATCGTTATTAGTTGACAATAATATTTAGCTTGGAGCGGTTGCATTCATTTTTAATTCAACTTGAAACTCTTTTCCAGATTGGCAAAGGCTTTTGATGAGATTTCATTTACAATTTCATGTAATACAATACATTGTTGAACAGAAAGCCAATCAAAATGCAAAAGTTCAATAAGTGCTCATTACACTTTGCTCAAGCTCTTGCCTTTTCATTCCTTGCCTTTCACTTGGAGTTGAACATTTTTTTTACCAGTTTTTAGTTTCTTTTCAATATTTTGTTTCAAATGGTTGTCAATGGGAAAAAGTCAAATTGTATTAATAAAAAGGTAAAAATGGTGAAATTATTTACTTCCTTAGGCTAAATTTTTTACTTTTCATTATTATTGCAATAATTTGCAATGAAATTATTTTCACTCTATTTGGTTTCCAGTGAAGGGAATGAGAAATGTAGTTGAAAAATTGATTCCATTCCCTCATAACATTTACTTTGACACAACATTTATACTTGAGTTAATAATACTAATAATTTCAACTTCAACTTTTCTCTTTTCTCCTTGCGATTCCATTTTATTAAATCACTTTTACAAGCTCAACTTAATCTGTTTAATGACTTTACATGGAGAAAAAGTTTAATCGAAACTTTCTTTCATTTGAAAATTGTTCCCTTGTTCAACATTTTCAATCAATTTTACTCGATAAACTTGAATGTTAAGCTGTGTAGCCATGTAAAAATATTGTAATGTTCATCTGTTATTAGTAAATAAAATGAAGTAAAGTGAGTCAATCCAAGTCGAGTCATTAATTCGTTCAATTGCATTGATACTGTTAATCAATCGATTTCTCAGTCAATGCAACTTTCAGATGTCGAGTCAACTTGAATTGCAATATCAAAGCAACCACAAAGTCGAAAGCTCAACTCTAATTCGGATAACCAAGAAAAAATTGATTTCTTTTCGAGCAATATTCTTATTCATCAAATTAACTCAAATCATAAAGTTTACCAACGCTCGCGATTGATTAAATAGCTAATTATGTTTGCCCACTTCGAGCGACAAACCTTTCAATCGATGTTACTTTTTGGGTTTTGGGTTTTGGATTCATTATTTTGTGCTGCAAGTTGATTTGTCTGAAGTTTGAATGAATGCAAGTTAATAAACTTTGTTTTTTCACTTTAGGTTACTTTTGTGGTGAAATTGACATGCCTAAGAATATTATATCTGAAACACCGTATGTTCGAATAATATTCCACTCTGATTCCTACTCGGAAGACACTCACTTTCAGTTTAGCACGGAAGTTCAAAAGCAAGAGGAACACTGGACCAAACTGGGTCAATTTCACAAGACACGAAACCGGCGAGGCCAGTTGATTCCCAACACTTACTGTGACAAGATAATCCAAGACTGTTCACCTGGCCACTGTTACATCCATTCGCCTGGTTATCCTGAAATTTATCCACGAAACTTGAAGTGCAGGTAAAGTTGAACATTCAAATTATACAAATGATTAAACTTGATGACTAAACATGAACCCTCCATTGTTCAATTCAATTTCAACTCCCACATGTGTTAACAAATTTATGATAACTTTTGTTGTAACCTGTTTCAAACTCATCATGATCATAATCATCATCATTATCGTTGGCATCAATTTTCCTATTCAGTTTATTATTTCATTTCTTGTTTCCTTTTCTTCTCCTCATTTATAAACTATTCAACTTTTTTATTTCCTCTTCACTTATCATTATATTATTATTACATTGCCACTTGTTATGATTATAATATCAATGATACAAGGAATGATGAAAGTACTTTAGTTAGTATGTTTAGCGCTCAATGTTTCATGCTCAGTTAACTTTGGATTCATATGGGAAAATGAATGAACAAAGGAGAAGCAGAAAAGATGAGGAAAACAAAAGTTGCCACCAAAAAGAAGGTGATATTAACCATGATAAGAGTAATGGTGTGAAGATGGAGAATAAAGATGATCAGAATTCTTATTAAACAATATTAGCTGTTGATGAGATGCAGAATATTTTATTGTTTTCTTCTCAGTAAAACATTATTTAATTGACTTGTTAACACATTGAACACATTACTGTACTTTATGTCTGCGAACACCATTTCAATAGAAGGACGAAAAGGTGTAACAGTAATTTTGATATTCATGTAGTCTAACATATTCTTTATGCTCAATACTTTTATCAATTTTCCCATTTGCATCAAGGTAATGCTAAACAAGCTGCAAAGCAATCATAAAAAACTAATTTTCGTTGCTGAATATTTATGTTCTGTTCTTATTAATCTTCTGAGCAAACTTTGAATGCAAAGAATATCAGTGAAAATGTGTTTCATTAAGTTATTCAAAATCATTTGGTGATTAATCTTCGGTTGAGGCTTCCAAAAATAAGGTCGAGCTTATTCGTTAACTCATTAACTCTCTCAACATTAAAAGCATATTAAATGCAAGGATTGCAACCAACTAGACGTGCTTAGTCAAAGAGTTGGATTGGTCGATATTGAAGGCGAACGTTTCTGCTTTCTTTCGCTTTTTCAATTTCTTTCTGTTCTGTTACCTTTTATCATGTTAATGGATTTTGGGTCATCGATGTTTTGCGAGGCTCATTGATCATGAATCTCTTTGCAATATTGAGTCCTGATTCTGCAAATGTTCTGGTTTGACCGAAGAGAACACACACAAAAATTGAATTTTACTTTTTTATTGTCTTTTTGTTTCTTTTTATTTATCCTGTTCTTTGTTCATCATTGACATTACTTACACCATTAAGGAAACCAATAAGTTCATCTTGAAAGGATAAAACTAACGAAATAGTTTATTATCAGGAGAAAGGATTGAGTTTTTCATTTCATCAAGATGATAATATTGAGGAAAAGAAGCTGAACAAGAGAAGAAGCGAATGAAAAAAAGTTGAAATAAAACAGGCAAAGTTTATTTTGTTAACGATTTTCACTTCAAATGTTTCTTAAATTTTCATCCATCATTCTGTTGAACCGATTTACGATTTTTCATTTTCTTTCTGTTATCTTGAACTTCAGGCCAAACTCATCAATCTTTATTAGAACGAACCTTGTAACTTGAAATCTTTTTCCTTCTTTTCTCTCAATACAAACTTTCAAGAGAATAAAAAACATTTATTTTCTCCTTTCCTTTCCTCAGATTATCTTTATTTCAACATTTGGTGAACTCACTTAAACCAGAAATCCAAATTCATCTGAATCTTCTTCAATCTCGAATTCTCATCATCAGTGCATTTCAAATTCTTAACTTTTTATCCAATTTTCTTTCAAATTTTAAATTCCTATTTGACCAGAAACCAAGTCTAAATGTTATCAATGATCAAGAACTTTCAAGTTTCAAGAAAAGCTTTTAAAAGTTAATCCACCGAGACTTCTCAATCAACCTTTAATCCATCTTATTCACAGCGAATCAGTCATCATTTGAAACAATCAACTGAACTGCAACTTAATCAAGAAAAGACTAAAAATGAACTTCAACTTAAACATTCAATTTTCAATAAACTTTTCTGTTTCTCTTTCGCCCTCAGATACTTGGTTAAGTCTCCAGGAGGCTTGATTAAACTGGAAATTGTCGATATGGATGTTGATGGGGAACAGTGTGAAGGAATGCTAATTTGCTTCCCAAGGCCAGTTACACGTAATTACAATCAATGTTTATACGATTCAATTAAAATTTATGATGGTTCAACATCAAAGGATCCACTTATAACAACACTTTGTGGAAGGTAATAAACAAAATAATAATCATTTGTATAACAGGCAATAACAATCTTATTTATAGTCATCTCTTAATGGGCAACATGCTAATAAAATTAGCCAATCTAATAAAGTTATCAATCGATCCCAGATGTACTCGGTTGCTTCGAGAGTTACTTCAACTGTCTAGAGACGAGGTTTGATGTTTTCCCGAAAAAAAGCGATTCTCTTTCCTCATTATTATTAATCAGCAGCAAAAGGCAATAATTTAAATTGAAAAATGTGCAATTTCCACGATCAAGTGCAGATATTAAACTAAATTTATTCAATAAAAGTTTACAGATCAAATCTTGGAGAGATGCAAGAGATTAAGTTTGGATTCAATCTTGCATTATGCGTAAAACTCGAACTTTGCTTTAAGCAAAAATCAATTTTTGTGGTTTAAAACACTTTGATATTAATATTATGATATAATATATGAAAAAGGTTTAGTAAAGCTGCTCTCCACATTGAAAGTGCTTGAAATGTCGATTAGGCTTAGGAATAAATATTGAAGAGTTTCTGGTTGATCTAGTGTTTGATTATGAATGATAATTGGTTTCCAGTTTGTATTGAATTTCGATTGAATTTGTGAGAATAAATTGAAAGATTTTCAAAAAGCAATTGGATTATTGTCCAAATTGAGAGACCATTTCTTGTCTAGATTTGTTTGCTAAGATTAAAATGCTTTAGGTTGTGTTACACATAAAGGTTGACAAACCCATCGAAGCAACAAGAAGTATCTTGCAAGTCTGGTTCACTAACCCATTAATAATGAAAAGCAAGTCGATATTCATTGCAAAAACAGATTAGTAAACAAGAAAACCAAAAGAATCGCAATGTTACCAGTTAATATTCAACGCAATTATGTTTTACTCCAACAATTGTTGGATAGAAAGCACTTGTATTTGGTCAACTAATCATTATTACTTCAAAATTAAAGCTTGATAGCTGATCGCAATCGCTTCTAGTTTTTAAGGTTTGTAGCCATGTTTATGGTACATTGGACTTTAATATTCTGTTTCGTTTTGCATAAACCAACCTTAAAGACTGAAAGCAGTTGCTAGCCACGATCAGCTTAATTTTGAAATAATGCCGATTAGTTGATCAAATACACTTTGGATCGAACTGTTGAAAACATTAGTTAACATAGTTCATCTCAAGTAATCATCGCGTTAATAAATTTAGATCTATTTTAGTCTGTTTGTCATTGGAACCAAGTTTATTTACAGATTATATTGAATGCAATGAAAGAGCAAAATGTCATAAATGTATTCTTTATTCATTATTGACATTGATTTACTTTTTGATTATATTTTTATTCCAATGAAGCGGTTAAATTGCTGACGATACATGTCAATAAAGATGATAATTACCATTTCAATTGATTTCTTGAATAACGGCGCATCTATTGATTAATCGTTTTTCCTTCTTTCTTCCCTTTTTCTGTCCATTTATTATCATCATCAGAGGTCGTTTATCATCAAACATAATTGCCTCTCAACCATGGATGTTAATTGAATTTGAAAGTTCACCTGCTGGACGTTTGGTTGACACTGGATTCCAGATTAAAGTTGAAACTGACATAATAACCGATCAAGGACGATCAATCGAGGTAAATTAAAAACTTTATCCCAAGCGATTTGTTGATAACAATTGATGACAATCAAAGGCAAAAGTTAGAAGCTTTTTAAACGGTAAATGGGTTCAACTCAGTTCGTCGTTTACACTTCAAATCAATCAGTACAAAGACAGTGACAAGACAAAGATTATCATTCTTATTCAATAAACTGTCAAAAGCTGCATCAACATCAAAACATGTTATGACCCTAATAGACCCTCAATATTGCAAATAACCTTTACTCCCAGGTGAATGCTAAGGTCTTGCAACTATCATTATAATCATTTAGAGAAATGGACAAAAAAAAGTTCTCCTCGTCTCAACCAAACTTCACTTAACACTTCAATAAAATGAGCAAAAATGTAATAAATGAAATTAAATTAAATCTTTATTGTCATTACTGGTCAAAACGGAAAACTTTTACAGCTAAAAGTGTCTAAAAAGTGATTATTTTTTCATCAGCCAGTGCAATAAACTTGTTGGAATGAAATAAAGTTTATTTTTTATGGAGAATGAAAAGTTGCGGAATTTTGTGATTGAAAAGTTTCTTTTTCATTTTCCAGGTTTCTCCTGATGGTTCATGTGTTCTCCAGGAAACAATTACCGATTCTGTTGATACAAATGTATTCAACAATCCTCGCTCCTGGTTTCCTGCCAACACTACTTGCTCATACATTTTCACGGTTCCCAACCCACAGGATCACATTTCCATTGAATTTTTGTCCTTTACCATTGAAAGGATAACTTTGTGCGAGGAAAATATTCGCATCTTTGACGGTCTGGAACCTGATCCATTCAGATTAATGAACATTCTGTGTGATACAAATAAGCCAATGGTAATTAAAGTTTCATCAGTTTTCTATTCAGTTTTTCCTTGAAAGCTTTTAAATCCTTTCAATCATTATTCATATTCAGATTATTTGTTCCCTGTTAGCATTCATTGTTTCATTTCACATGAAAAGCAACAATTCAATTGAGGCAAACTTTTCAAGCTTACAAAATCTCATGAAAGCTCTTTTTTCTTCTTTTCCATTGTTTTCCATTCCAACATTGACTCTGGAAACAACAAATGGAAAACAAAAGTTCACCTTTAATTAAATCAATTGTAATTAATTGACTTTTCTCTTTTTTTCCTCTTCTTTTCTATTACAATGTTTTCTTCATGATTAAAAGGGTGGTGCATCGGAACCATTGTACACTACAACTGGACCTTCCCTTTTAGTCCAATTTCATAGTTCAACTGGTTCACTGGATGGTTCATCAATCAACTATCGATTCCAAGTGAAACGAATAGTTCCCGAAGTTAAAGTTTCCTCTGAACTAGTTTCCTCCAATTGTTCACGTCTATTTACTGCCTCTGACTGGTCAGTCAAACCTTTTCCCAATCCATCAAGTTCAACCTCAACAAGTGAACAACTCAATGCAGGAAGCTTCACCATTAACCCGTCCGACTTTGCATTCCCAATCAATGGTAAAATCCATTGCAACCTAACTTTTGATGCCTCAGTACTGGCCCATGGACGCGTCAACCTGTCCATAGTATCTGCCTTCAACTCAGCACTGACTTGTGGTAAATACTGTGACATTGGGATACTCGGAGCCAACCAGGCCAAGCTGCTTGTTCACCGTGCAGTAGACTCGACTCACTTCCTATCACCTCTTTGCTATTGTGAGCCAACCTCTCGTGAGTTTCCCTTCAACTTTCAAACTGAATTTTTGTACAAACAAGGATCAAAGGTGGCTGGAAGTGCCATTGGAAATGATGTCATTAACTTTATATCAAACAGTTCGATACTTCGAATCAACATCAACTTACCTTCAGATTGGGGACGAAGACCAGAATCGAAGCCAATAAAGGTAAGAAGCCTCATCATTTTGTTTCGCAACCAAAACTTGGTTATGACATGAATAATGTTCATGAAAAGACATTTGGAAAAGTTTAATTTAATCATTTTTTATCGTGTCTCTCCTGTTTATCCTTCCGTTTGCAGTCAATTTAATTTAAATAATTTATTCAATATAACAGTTGATAAAAGGGAATGAGAAGTTGCACGATTCCATTCTCATTATTATTAACATGTCAATCTTTTCTGGTTACCATTCAATTCCTGACTAGCCAAATGAGCAACTCAGATGAGTTTCATTTCCGCTCCTTTTTTTCATTTATTTGTTAAACAGAACATTTCAGGGAAGATAAAAGTTGATATCAATTTCAAATTGAAAAGTTTAAATCATGTTATCAGAATATAATAACAAGAATAAAATGTTAATAAAAATATCAACTTGTCAATCAGTTTGCCTTTTAACATTTAAATGCAAACCAAAGAGTAATATTGAATTACATGTTTAATTCAATGTTTGCAGTTGGCTTTTCAAACGCATTTCCATGAATTTTTCCTTCGAAAAAAAGAAAACTGAAAAATTCTTAACTCTTTACCAAATCGAATTTCGAAATTGATGAAAACTGAAATTTTCAAGTAAATTGATAGTAAAGTTAATAATGAAAATATCCAAATATTAAGCTGAAAAGATGTTATCAGTTGCTTTAATCTTCATCCTTTTCCATTAAATTTAACCTTTTCCTTGCAATTTATATTCCAAAGAGCATTGAATAATTGAACTAATCAGATAAAGAAAATGTTGAATAAGCTCGAACAATTAAGTGATTGTTTGGAAATATTGAAATTTTTATTTTCCATAAATGGGTTTAATAATTATTTATATTGTGCTTTTCATCTTTTCAAGTAAAAATATTTCTTTCCTTATTCAATAAACATTACCATGAAAAAAGGTTCAATATAATAACCAGAAATAATGGTTAAGTAAATTTGATTGGTGAAAGGAGGAAGAAGTTCAGTTCAAGTTTCCATGGTTTTCCATCTTTTCATCATTTCCATCTCACAGCGGTACCAAGCAATGATAGAAAAGGTTGGAATTCATTTTCATTATCCTGAGCCATGAAAAGCATGAATCCATTTAAAAAGGTAAAAACTTTGAATATTAATGTTCGACTTTAGGTTTTTTTTCTTAAATCATTTATTTAATTCTTATTTCACCCGAAAATGCTTTCAAACTCAACTTAATTATTATGAATCGACTAAAGACAAAGATTCTTGCGGCAAACAATTTGCTCCAATTACAAGTTATATTAACAATTAATGATCATTTAATTAAACTTGAGAAGTGGAAAAATCTTTAATCATGATTACTGTAATTACAAGAGTGTTGATTATTGATAAACTAATTGCGACTGTAAATTCAATTTTCATGTTTTCTCGTTATTCTCGAGTCTTAACACTCGCAATGGAAAACAATTTATCAACTTAATCATCAATTCCCGACTTTTCAGTCAATATTGATCATTAATCACGATGGTCAGAGAAGCGAAAAATTGATAAAGAAAATGAAAGTTTCTACTTTTCCCATTCATGGAATCATTTGAAATCATAAATTGAACTTGTTTGTTTGAAATCAATCAACTGGAAACTAGGAAAATGTGGACAAAATTATTTTCTCGAAAAAATCACTTTCTCTTTTGCATACACTTTGGCACTCTTGTAAAATGCAAATCGCCAGTCATTATGTGGCTCTTTTGGATGCGTGATTTAGCATAATGATAACTTTCACTCCCAGTCAGAGAGTAAATAAGATAACCTTTGAATGAAAATTTTAATGGAAAGGCGAAGGAAGAAGAAGAAGAAAAAAGTTGAAACTTTGTTTCATCGAGAGTTCAAGCTTTTCCTCTGTTATCTTGTGTAAAGCCCATTCTGTTTCTCATCATCATTATCATCTTCTTGGATTCACTTTACTCTTCTAATGATGCCAAGATTTTGGAGTAAAATTGTCTCACTAAACCTCATTTGATTTTATTCCCAATGAAAAATGACCGTAAACCGGATAAAAAAAGGTTCCCTTGGATTAACATTACAATTGTTATCATTGGCGATGAGTAACTCCAAGGATAATCTGGGAGTAAAAGTGTGATAACAAATGCTTTTAATATACGTTTAGCAGAATTGCTTGTAATGATAATAGATGTAAAGCAATAGCTTTTTCGCTTTGGTGTTTTCCCATTGTTTCCGGAAGAATTGTAATTAGCTTCAATAATTTTGAAATGATTGAACAAAGTTGAAAGGTGTTGAGGATTACCGTTGATCCGATTGGCCGGCTAAATTGAGTTCAAGCTTAAGATTCGAGATGAACATTTGCCATTATTTTTGCTCCTTTTGCTTGTTCGCTCATTTTCCTTGCTCTTTCAATCAACTTTAAGTAGCAATTGATTTTTGGCTGAAAAATTTATCGATAATGAAATTGAACACAGATGAAGGAGAATCAATGTGTTCATTCAATGATAACTATTTTCAGCTAATCTATTATCATGAAACTAATAATGTACTTGTAATCATAATATTGTTTTTCGAAGTTTCTTTTTTTCGAAAAAAATAACTCCAATTTCATCTTCAATCTTAATGAACTATCTTCATCTTTTATCTGTTCATTGATAATCATTGAAGCAAGTAATGGTGAAAAGAAAATGAAAAGAACACTTGAAGAGTAAATTTTTCAAATTGAATCTGATTCCATGCTGGCCATGTTTAACCTCTTCGGAAAAGTTTCAAAACTCTTATCAATTCGAAATTCATTTTTCTCTAAATTCTGTACTTCATTTCATTTCTGAATTTGCTTCAAGTTATGAAGTTTATGGATTGTATCGAGTTTAAAAGTTCATTTGTGAATGAAAAGAATGAAGCAAATGGAAAGGAAAATGAGAAAGTCGAGAATTAATCTGAAGTAAAAGTTTGAACGGAAGTTGAAGATAAGAAAAGAATCGAAAAGAAAAGTTCTGACAAAGAGGAACAAAGAAAAATGATAATGTTATTCAGTTTGGAGGAAAGAAAAAATAAATTATTAGAAAAACAAGTTTCGAAAAAAGCAGAATGTTCCTTTTCTCTCTGATAAACACTGAACATTATCATTATAATAATCATCAAGATACACAGACAAAACAGTCTTCCCTGTGAACCTGATGACCTTGTATGCTGATGACTCTTATCAGAAGAAAGGCTTTTTTAAAAAAAGGCTTGTGCGATAACCAACCAATGAATAGAGCATCGCCAGGGAGTTTTACTTTACCTATTCAACCTCCCAAAGGTGAACCTCTCTCATTCATCATCATTATTGAAACTAATATAACATCAACTTTTATCAACATAAATATATAATGAAACCAAGTCACCCATACAATTTGATACTCTTCATCATTGCGCTTATTGAAACTCTTGCTATCATTTCCTTCCCTTACCCTTCACTCCCAGCGGTATAAACAAAAAGCTAAGGAAAATGTTGCTATCTAACTTGATATGAATACTTTTCCAATCTCAATATCTTAACAATCATGATCAATTTATGCATTTGAAAACTTTATCCTTTCCTCAAATCAATATAATCTTTCATCATCAAACTCCATCCCAAACTCCCAGTCATATTAGTCAATCCTGTTCAACACTTAAACTTGCAATTTCACTTCATTTATCATTCATTTTCCAAACTCAATATTTAAGTATTTCTTGGCTTTTAAAAGGAAAAAATTGAAATTCATTTTTTGCAAATTCAATATTTCAATTGTTGGTCAAAAAGATTGAGTGAAAGTTCATTTATTCAAGATTCAATTTCAAAGAGTTTAATTTTTTGGAGTTTTTCATCTTCGATTGAATAAAGTGATTTTTAATCAAACATTAGGTTAGTTGAAGGAAATAAACTTTATTAATTGTTATTTATTGAGGTAATTTGCAGTAACAAGAATCAAAGGTAATTAAGGTTGGTCTGAAATTCGCAAGATTAAGTAGATTGAACATGTTGCAATATAATTAAGATACATGGACTGGGATGCACTTGAATGTTGCTCTCAACTGTATGATTAAATTATGTTTCACATCCAAATTGTTCAACTATTCATCTTGATTGTAACCATTCATTTGATTCTCATTTCTCTTTTTCCTCTCCATTGTCTAACTGCAAATAATATACAATATTCATTGTCATCATAAAATAATGATAAAGATGATAAAAACGATGAAAATGGCGATAATAAAGTTTACTCGATAGGAAAGGAAAAGAAGAGAAAAATTATTCGACTGACAAATCATTGCAAATGGTCCCTTCAATTGAATCAAAATACTAATAAAGAATGAAATTATTGACGAAAAGATAATCAAAAAATTATCGATTAAATCGAAAGACAAAGTTCAAGTTTTATCATGTGTTTTACAAGTGTTAAGATGATTGTTAATATGAAATCAAGAGGAACCAGTTTCTCAACCTTTAGGTTAACCATTTGTTGTAACGACTCAATCAATAGTGAAATTGCTTGCTAAGTTTACCTTTTCCAAGTAAAAGCATAAAGTGTTCAAAAAAAAGGTTAACCTTTTTTTTGTTCAATGGGTAACCATGAGAAAAAAGTTCTCTCTTCCTTTTCACCCGAAAAAAGTTTGCAAATCGATTGATGGATAATTATATTTCTCAGTTGAACCATATTATTATCATCATTATCACCATCATTGGCCAACATTGATATCCATTCAATTGTGGTACAAGAATGAAAGGAAAAAAAAGTTTCATGAAACATTTTTTCTTTTCTCTCTTTCTACTCTAACCATTAAACCAAGAAAAGTTCAACTAATTGATGTTGAGTAAATTTTTTGCTTCTTTCAACTTGACAATCAAATTCGTTGATTTAACCAAATTTTAATAACATGCTCCATATAACCTTTTCATTATAACACTGGTTCATTGCAATTATAACCTTTTATTATCACTCCCAGCTTCACTCCCAATTTTTACTCTCACCTTCCATGATA